TGTACTAAAATGTACTAAATGTACATTTTAGTACATTTAAACCCCCGACTAAAATGTACTACTGGCTCTCCATAGGGATCGCTGTATTTTCCTTCTAAATGGAGTTCCCAAAGAATGAAACAAACATTCAAGCGTACAAAGACTAGAAACGCCAACAACAAATGGATACGATACCGAAAAGGTTTTTTATTTAGAATCATGACAGCTTTTGAAGTAGGTATCAAGAATATATTCCACTCCCCTCTTGTCCCTCTCCTCCTCCATAATCTGCACCTCAGTCAGTCTGGAATTCACAGTTGTGGTTAAATACTGTTGTCAGCCAGGCTTAAGCCTGTTATCTCCTGCTGAAAGGTGGAGGGGGAGATAGGAGGAGAACTCCCAGCTATCTCCTCTCGCTATGTTGTTCAGGCAGTTTTTCATCTGCACATTACAGATGTCTGGGCTGCTTCCCAAATAATAATAATAATATGCCATTCAGCAGACGCTTTTATCCAAAGCGACTTACAGTCATGCGTGCATAATTATTTTATTTTTTTGTGTATGGGTGGTCCCGGGGATCGAACCCACTACCTTTGGCGTTACAAGCGCCGTGCTCTACCAGCTGAGCTACAGAGGACCACATGGCACCCTATTCCCTATATTTTTTTTTACCAGAGCACTATGGGTAGTGCATTATGGGTATTGCAAAAGTAGTGAACCTTATAGGGAAGTGCACTATACAGGGATACTTCCATTTGGGACGAAATACCTCGTATAAGATGGATGACAGGCGCTCCTCGGGGGACGTCTATACGGGGTCCTTCAGTTCTTTTCATAAACAGACGCACAGATTATCCATGATATTAAGCAGATACTCTAGTGGCCGCTCTAACAATTAAAATAAATGTATTCAAAAATGGAAGGCAGTCGGGAGGAGGCAAGATCAGGTGTGACCATTCTAGCCAATGAGTGGGCTATACCCATGTGAACAACAGGCACAAATCCGATAGTTTTTTTTCTCTCAAAGTTGCCGACATGTCACGTGTCCTACTTCTATCAGTACACTAATAACAACTTAAACATTACAAAACGTATATTCGATCAAATAAGCCTCACGTAGCAAATAAGCCATTTCAATTTTTTTGTCAACCAAATTTGACACTCTAATTGACATCCATTCCAAAACTCCTTGCTTGGTGAGTGAAATAGACAGAACAACGCCACCTGCTGGAGGAGACAGATTTCGGGCCCAGTTATCCCTATTTGCTTCAGCTCTTCCTCTCTGACAGACGGCAGCAGGCAGGTGGCACCAGGTCCTTGTAACTGTGAGTGCTGTATGGCAGAGACACATGGATCCACTGCATTCCCCACAGGTCCAGACACGGCCGTGTAGTGTAGCAATCTGAATCATTTTTTTAAAATTATTTTTTAAAGCCACATCAGAAAATAAAGTTAACTTTCCCAAAGTCCCAACAATGCGCGAGCCACACCCCTTTTGGTTCTCAGTAATGCTATTATATATTCAGACAACACACTCGTACAGCAGGCCAGTATCCGTCTATATGGTGCAAGGTCCAGGTTCACCACAATGTCTCTTGCAGGTCCACTCCACAAGGTCCAGGTCCACCATGAGGTCTCCACTCCACAAGGTCCAGGGCCACTATAGGGTCTCCACTCCAAAAGGTCCAGGGCTAATGCATTCTGAATCTATACCACTATAAACAGTTATAGTCTTTGTTATATGTGTTCATATACAATGTTTCAAAATGACCATATTATACAGTCTACCCAGGCCAGGAGTGCTTGAGAAGCAGCACAGAGAAACGCTATTTGTACAAGCCTCTTGACACGGTGATACTCCACAATAACTACAGTAGGTAGAAGAACCCCTGATTTACAGTGCCCATTAACACACAGAATCATCACAACTACAGTGCTCTTCTTTTTACACTACATCCTTTCAGTCTTGCACCAAACATCCTAGAACAAGTGATGTGTCTTATTACCAATGTGTGTACAGTTTCAGTGTAGGATAAATATCAACTATAGATGATCATTCAATGTTGAATCATCACTAACCAGACTTGTATTTACATTTAATGCAATCTACAACATATGATTCATTTGAACCCAGACCATTCCTATCTGAAACTGTCTTAAAGCTACAGTACAGACAAATAAAGCAAAGTGTCTACAATATCTAAAACATGTACACTACCAGTCAAAAGTTTGCACACACCTACTCATTCAAGGGTTTTTCTTTATTTTTACTATTTTTTACATTGTAGAATAATAGTGAAGACATCAAAACTATGAAATAACACATATGGAATCATGTAGTAACCAAAAAAGTGTTAAACAAATCAAAATATATTTTATATTTGAGATTCTTCAAATAGCCACCCTTTGCCTTGATGACAGCTTTGCACACTCTTGGCATTCTCTCAACCAGCTTCACCTGGAATGCTTTTCCAACAACCTTGAAGGACTTCCCACATATGCTGAGCACTTGTTGGCTGCTTTTCCTTCACTCTGCCGTCCGACTCATCTCAAGCCATCTCAACTGGGTTGAGGTTCGGGGATTGTAGAGGCCAGGTCATCTGATGCAGCACTCCATCACTCTCCTTCTTGGTAAAATAGCCCTTACACAGCCTGGAGGTGTGTTGGGTCATTGTCTTGTTGAAAAACAAATGATAGTCCCACTAAGCCCAAACCAGATGGGATGGCGTATCGCTGCAGAATGCTGTGGTAGCCATGCTGGTTAAGTGTGCCTTGAATTCTAAATAAATCACATACAGTCTCACCAGCAAAGCACCCCCACACCATTATACCTCCTACTCCATGCTTTACGGTGGGAACTATACATGCGGAGATTATCTGTTCACCCACACTGCATCTCACAAAGACACGGCGGTTGGAACCAAAAATCTCACATTTGGACTCCAGACCAATGGACACATTTCCAGTGGTCTAATGTCCATTGCTCGTGTTTCTTGGCCCAAGCAGGTCTCTTCTTTTTATTGGTGTCTTTTAGTAGTGGTTTCTTTGCAGCAATTCGACCATGAAGGCCTGATTCACACAGTCTCCTCTGAACAGTTGATGTTGAGATGTGTCTGTTACTTGAACTCTGTGAAGCATTTATTTGGGCTGCAATTTCTGAGGCTGGTAACTCTAATGAACTTATCCTCTGCAGCAGAGGTAACTCTGGGTCTTCCATTCCTGTGGCGGTCCTCATGAGAGCCAGTTTCATCATAGAGCTTGATGGTTTTTGCGACTGCACTTGAAGAAACTTTCAAAGTTCTTGAAATGTTCCGTATTGACTGAAATTCATGTCTTAATGTAATAATGGACTGTCGTTTCTCTTTTCTTATTTGAGCTGTTCTGGCCATAATATGGACTTGGTCTTTTACCAAATAGCCCTATCTTCTGTATACCCCCCTACCTTGTCACAACACAACTGATTGGCTCAAACACATTAAGAAGGAAAGAAATTCAACAAATTAACTTTTAAGAAGGCACAGCTGTTCATTGAAATGCATTCCAGGTGACTACCTCATGAAGCTGGTTGAGAGAATGCCAAGAGTGCGCAAAGCTGTCATCAAGGCAAAGGGTGGCTATTTGAAGAATCTCAAATATAAAATATATTTTGATTTGTTTAACACTTTTTTGGTTACTACATGATTCCATATGTGTTTTTTCATAGTTTTGATGTCTTCACTATTATTCTACAATGTTGAACATAGTAAAAAATAAAGAAAAACCCTTGAATGAGTAGGTGTGTCCAAACCTTTGACTGGTAGTGTACATGTTCTGTCTCTTCTTCTTTGGTCATGGGATGAATTAAATGGCACCGAAGCAAAAGCCACAAGTTATATTAACTCGATTTGAGACACAGTAAACTAAATCTGCGTACATAAAGTAATTCAGTACCACCATGTTGAAAATGGATAGTTATGTCGTTTAAATATACCAGACAAACATACACATTTTTTTTTTTACATACAGAACTTTTCTTCAGCATTGTTTTTCCTCTATATACACAGGCAGATACATGATAACGTGTAACAGGGTTGATTATATATTTGATTGGATCTTGAAGGAAAATGGGGAAGGAGAAGGGTTTTATGGGTAGTGTAGTCTTTCAGGAGTCCACGTATAGGCTGGGTATAGTCTTTATTAGGCAGGTAACCAGCCGCCTGACATCTTCAGTCATATTGCCACAGTCAGTCAGCATGGTTGAGGTCCAGCGGCATGCACCCTGTCCCACTACACACTGAATCCATATGTCTCTTACTTTCAGACGCTATTGTCCCTCTCAATGCTTTTTCTACTTCTTAGTACAGGATTTCCCAAACCCAGTCCTGGGGACCCCAGGGGGTGCACGTTTTGGTTTTTGCCATCAAAGCCTGATGATTAATTGATTATTTGAATCAGCTCTGTAGTGCTAGGGCAAAAACCAAAACGTGCACCCCATGGGTGGCGAGGACCGAGTTTGGGAAACCCTGCCTTAGTAGATACTCCCACCCCCTCTCACTTGAATAAAATGGCGCCATCCACCCTGCACTGCCACACCCCCTCTCACTAGAATAAAATGGCACATTCCACCCTGCACTGCCACACCCCCTCTCACTAGAATAAAATGGCGCCATCCACCCTGCACTGCCACACCCCCTCTCACTAGATTAAAATGGCACAGTCCACTCTGCACTGCCACACCCCCTCTCACTAGAATAAAATGGCACAGTCCACCCTGCACTGCCACACCCCCTCTCACTAGAATAAAATGGCACATTCCACCCTGTACTGCCACACCCCCTCGCACTAGATTCAGGTGGTACAGTCCGTCAAACTGTCTCAGTACATTCTCCCACTTTCTCTCACCTCCCAGGGTGGTACACACACCCCTCACTAGATCCAGATGGTACTGTCCCTTTCAATATGTCTCCAAGTCATTAGTACATTCTCCCACCCCCTCTCATTCGATTAAAATGGCACAGTCCACCCTACACTGCCACACCACCTCACTGGATCCAGATGGTATTGGCCCGGTCGGGCCTGCGCGGATCGGCGGTCAGATCTCCGAAGGTGGAGAAGAACTGTTCCATCTCTTTCTGCAGCATCTCGTTCCTCTTCTCTGCGTCATCCTTGGCCCGCTCTGCGTTACGCAACTTGATCTCCACCATGGTGACCTTCTTCCTCTCCTGGTTCAGCTCCTCGTGAAGAGTCCCCATCTCAGTCTCCAACTCCAGGTTGCGGTGCTCCAGGCTGCAGTGACGAGAGCAGTGAGTTTAGAGGGAGGAAGAAGTTACTTAAAGTGGCAGTCCAGTCTCCTTTTCACCTCATTTAACACCTGATTTACTTAACAAAAGGCACATCTCAATAGGTGGTCCAGGTAAATCATGACATAACACAAGTGTGGGGGGGGGGTGGGGGGGATTACTATAAGAATTATGATTATGAAATTTAAGCCTGTATTTTAATTCAAAAAGAAACCACAAAACTATAACGAAAAAACTAAAATATACAAAAGTTACAAATATTGCTTCCTCAAGCAAGGGGGAGGCTGATGACATCACGGATTCCATCAGACCAACTCCTTGAATGCCCTACTCATTAAAGTTTTGCGGTTGTGTCTAAAAAACAAACACAATTTTGCTCAATTTTGTTGGTGTGTTTACTTTCTTTATACTGGGATATCACTTTTCAACTGGAAAAGTTCCCAAATAGCTGGAGGAAGTCGTTAAGCTCTTTCTCAATTCTCTAAAATGGTCTTCTCTTCATCTCACTGATTGGAAAAGACTAGTCCGTTCTTTCAGATCAGTGAAAGAGAGGAGGTAAGAAAAATAAGGATTTTTTTTTTTAGACAATTAAAGAAAGATCTGGCAACTCCCATTCCACAGAAAGAGCTTGTTAAGAACTGTCTTCAAATGAAAGAAATGTCTATATTTTATTATAGCGACACAGTAGGAGGTAGTGGTGCTACCTAGTTATCCTGGCCTCGTACTCTGTCTTCTGCTTCTGCATCTCCTGTTTCAGACTGACCACCAGGCTGTGTAGAGCGCTGTGACTACTGGCTCCGTTACTGACGAGGAACATCTCACTGTTGTCACTGCTGCTGGTGGCTCCACTACCCCTCCCTCCACCACCGTTCCTCCGCTCCCCCTCCACGTCCCCGCCCGGCTGGGGCTGCTCGTCGAGGGAGGACAGCCCCCTAGGTCCATCCGGCAGCAGCAAGGGGTCCTCGTAGAGGCCCAGCCCGCCGTAGAAGTCCTGTTCTGGGCAGGTGGTGGTGGAGGAACGGCAGGACGTGGAGTTGTCCGGAAGAGAGATCTCACAGGAGGAGGTGGACCAAGTAGCACTGTCCACGCTCTGCTTGTCCTCACAGCTAGAGATGAGACACGGCTGTTGTTGTTGTTGTTGTTGTTGTTGTTGTTGTTGTTGTTGTTGTTGTTGTTGTTGTTGTTGTTGCTGGACGTTGTCATAGGTGGACAGCCGGTTCTGGGACGCCGTCTGCTCTCCACAGTCCCGAGACTTGCTGTCTCGTAAGGTGACCGGGTAGCCATTGGGCACCCACAGCCCATTACGCCCGTTCAGGGTACCGTTCACCACGTCAGTACTTGACACACCCATGCGGACACCTCCGTTAGGGACCCCGCTGGTGCCCATCTTGGTGCCCGAGCCCTTCAGGGTGCGCCTGGCCTGGAGGCCGCTGATGCCTCCTATTAATAAAAATAACAACAATACATTTTATGCGTCTTTCAGGACTCTGTCATTGTCCAAGACACATTTCCCCTTGGGGACAATAAAATACATCCTATCCTATACTCAAGGACACCTTACATTAGAAGTACAGTCAAATCAAAGTACAACTAAAATTAAAACCTAGTGCAATTAAAATCAAACCCTAGTGCAATTAAAATCAAACCCTAGTGCAATTAAAATCAAACCCTAGTGCAATTAAAATCTGACAGAACAGAGCAGATAGTGGTACTGGTAACAGAGGAGGTAGAACAGACTCAGTCACATTCAGGACGTAACCTGTGTTACCGGGCAGAGTCTGGCTCTTCTCCTGGTTGGCTGCTTCTCCAGAGGGGGAACAACTAAACGAGCCGTTGGTGACCACGCCGCTGCCCTTGGAGACCGCCGGGTTTTTCTTAATGGTTAACGGCGGGCTGCGGGCCAGGTCGAAGCGCCCGGTAACATGGCCGTTACGTGGGCTGGCTGAGCGAGGTGAACCGGAGCCGTTGTTGTCTAACGTTACCGGGGGCTGGCGGTGGGGTGACTCGGGGGTCTCCCAGGAACACTGTTTCATCCTCTGCTGGGGTATTTGGGTATTGTTGTTCTGTTCTGTGGTCTGTCCCGTCGGCACCATCTGGGTCAGCCTCCTCTGGACCTACAGGATAATAATATATTACACTTAACGGGAGCTTTTATCCAAAGCTACTGACAGTGTAGTGGGTACATTTTACTATATGTAAAAGGTGGGCTCCGTATCGGGCAGCTTTCGCTCAAGAACCCAAAGTCTTAACCATTAGACCAACAGGGAACCTTGTGGGCCAAGGCTGACAATTGGGTTGACAAGTCTCTGGGCTACCAATCACCAGAGCGGGATTCCAAATCACCTCCACTACTGTTTGAACCCACAACCTTGGTGTCACTAGCTAGCTAGTGCCATGGGTTTAAATACCAACCCCGCGGGCTCGTACACCACCCACCTCGTTGTTGTTGTTGACCAGCTCCAGTGTCTTGGGACCGTCCTCGTCTCTGGGGAACAACACGTCGTGACGACCAATCAGAACAGACATCAGCTGCTGCACCAGCACTGTACCTGAGGACACCAGAAAGGTTACATGTCTTTACAGGTCCATAAGCATCATAATACTGTATACTCACCGATTACATTGTCGTAGGCCTAGAAGGACAATGGTGTCAAATTACTAAAGATTTGATTAATTATTGAGATCATGTATGCCATTCTTTCCACTTAAAAAAGTTACATTTTTTTTCTATCGAAATGCACTTTATTTAACTAGGTATGTTCTCTTTTACAATAGCAACCTGAAAAGCCACAGACATAAAGCTGAGCTAGAAAATAAACGTACCTTCCATGATTGCTACAGGGTCTTCAATCTTTGGCCGTAGTATATTTGGACCAAAGACTGTGGCCAGGTTCTGGACACACATTTTATTCACACCTGAATAGGACTGGACTTCATCTAAAAATCTGTAGGAGAAACACAATCAACATCCCAGTTAGCTTTTTAATGATAGTGAAATGCTGCGGAACAACAATGTCACAATACAATAAACTTTGCAGGTCTGTCTGTGAAGAATAATACTGGCCTTCACAGTGATACAGTGATACAGTGATACAGTAGTACAGTGATACAGTGATACAGTGATACAGTGATACAGTGATTCAGTGATACAGTGATACAGTGATTCAGTGATACACTATAATGCAGTGATAAAAAAAAAATAAAAAAAATATACTACTCTACCTGCATATGTACTGCAGCAGATTGTAGTTGACAGGAGGTAGACATTCCACTTGTCTTTTCAGTTCCTTCATTCCCTGGTGAGAGAATACACACGTTGCACTTAATGTACATCCTAATGTACTATAGAACTAGGTTACTATGGGGTAATTGCCCCCCCCCCCCCCCCCCCCTGTAATTCACATTAAGACCACAAGATGTCACCAAATTATTTCCCCAACACTTTCCCTGGCTGCCACTGCTCTTGCGCTTTGTCATCACAACTTTTGGAGATATTTCAACAAAAACAATTCTGTGGTAAGTTGATCAAATTTTTTTAAATTTTGAAAAGTTGTAGATATAGTCCAATGAAGTTAGATCTATATATATATATATATATTTTACCCCTTTATGGTTATGAATGTGTTTCTACCTGTCACTTGCTAGCTAGCATCTTCACTAGCAGTAAATGCTAGCCAGCTAGCTAGTTAGCATAAGCTGATAGGAGTGCTAGCTACCAACCTTACTACAGATCTCCTGAGGTAAAATACATTAAAAAGATAACGTAACTTAATTGCAGTTGTAAATGTTTCTACTAGTGACCGATGGCTTTACAGTTAATGTTACTTTATAGCCTTTTAGCTATTTTACACAGCATTTTATGTCATATAGCTAGATAGATAGCTAGCTAAGTTTTTAAGCGAGAGCTTTTCAATTGGCATCTCTCCCCCTGTTGTCAGTCACAGGTGGGGGCTGGATTAGGTGTGAGCAGTGCAGGAGATGGGCTCATGAGTTGTGCTCCAATTTGACTGGGGATAGCTTTATTTGTGACCTACAGCATGTACAAATTACAATCGAGCAATAGCAGAGCATAAGAGAGTTGCCACATCAATGTTACACTGAGTTAATTAGTTAAGTTATTGTTATTAAATGTTATTCCAATGTTATTTAATGTTATTAGTTATATTCCATTCCAATATTATATTCCAATTAATATATATATATTTTTAAACAACTATTAAAAACCTTTTGCTCCTGAATGTCATTTTAAAGACTGCTGGGATTTAAAATCTTGCATTATTCAAATAATATTCAGTGCAATTGTACAGTACATAATGGATTGTATGGAAAAGGAACATCAAAGAAAGAACAAAGATAATGAATGTGCAGGTGAGTTAAAAAGAGGGACTTTACATCAAATCTCCTCATAGTGCGGATATTAATGGTTACATGTGCAACACCATTTAAACCCCCCCCCCCCATATTTTATTTAAATAATTAAAGTAAGACAATTAGACTTAGCTTTACAGCTTTACTATTGAATTTCTAAATAAAACTGATAAAAATTGATTTTAACACACCTATGCCATAATCTTCTACAGGGTTAATTGGCACCCCCGAGGGCCAGTTACCCCATGGGGCGGGCAGTTACTACCCTGGTACTTAAAAAAAAAACTGCCCTTTTCTAAAAACAAAATTTCATGAAATAACAAAAAAAAAGTGTAAACTGTAGCCATTTATTTCCCTTTATAGTTTACTCTCCTAAGCATGACCTTCATCCACATACCATTTATTTCTCCAAACGTTGCTTTTTTGTGTCAGCAATTAGACATTGTTCTTAGGGGGGGCTAGTTACCCCCTAGGACCCTACTGTGTCCGTTTAATACATGTTCTACACTCTTTGGAGCGATTAATGGGATGGATTAGGGCAAAAATATAGTTTGACATCACCACAGAATATTTGCTAATTGCTTTACGGTAATAGTTATTGAAGCCTCTGCTTTACATGCATGCTTTAAATGTATTCCCCAGTAGATATTTCCCCCCCATTATGAACGAACATAAAACGTGCATAATAAACCCAGTTTATCCGATACAGCATATCTGTACCATTAATCGTATGAGTCCAAGTCCATTTAACAAGTCATAGGTGATCAATTGATGATATCTTATCAGATCTCCATCTTTAATCTGGTCCAGATCTTATCATAATCAATATCCTTGGAGCATCCAATTCCCTATCTAATACTTTTGACCAGGGCCCATAGGGCTCTGGGTATCAATAGGGTATCATTTGGGACAAAGCCCTTTTCCCTGCACTGCTCAGACCCTTACTGTGTCCCTGCACCGCTCAGACCCTTACTGTGTCCCTGCACCGCTCAGACCCTTACTGTGTCCCTGCACCGCTCAGACCCTTATTGTGTCCCTGCACCGCTCAGACCCTTATTGTGTCCCTGCACCGCTCAGACCCTTATTGTGTCCATGCACCGCTCAGACCCTTATTGTGTCCCTGCACCGCTCAGACCCTTACTGTGTCCCTGCACCGCTCAGACCCTTATTGTGTCCCTGCACCGCTCAGACCCTTATTGTGTCCCTGCACCGCTCAGACCCTTATTGTGTCCCTGCACCGCTCAGACCCTTATTGTGTCCCTGCACCGCTCAGACCCTTATTGTGTCCCTGCACCGCTCAGAGCCTTATTGTGTCCCTGCACCGCTCAGACCCTTATTGTGTCCCTGCACCGCTCAGACCCTTATTGTGTCCCTGCACCGCTCAGACCCTTATTGTGTCTACTGCACCGCTCAGACCCTTATTGTGTCCCTGCACCGCTCAGACCCTTATTGTGTCTACTGCACCGCTCAGACCCTTACTGTGTTCCTGCACCGCTCAGACCCTTACTGTGTCCCTGCACCGCTCAGACCCTTATTGTGTCCCTGCACTGCTCAGACCCTTATTGTGTCCATGCACCGCTCAGACCCTTATTGTGTCAACTGCACCGCTCAGAGCCTTATTGTGTCCCTGCACCGCTCAGAGCCTTATTGTGTCCCTGCACCGCTCAGACCCTTATTGTGTCTACTGCACCGCTCAGAGCCTTATTGTGTCCCTGCACCGCTCAGAGCCTTATTGTGTCTACCGCACTGCTCAAAGCTGTATTGTGTCTACTGCACCGCTCAGACCCTTATTGTGTCTACTGCACCGCTCAGACCCTTATTGTGTCCATGCACCGCTCAGACTCTTATTGTGTCTACTGCACCGCTCAGAGCCTTATTGTGTCCCTGCACCGCTCAGAGCCTTATTGTGTCCCTGCACCGCTCAGACCCTTATTGTGTCCCTGCACCGCTCAGACCCTTATTGTGTCCCTGCACCGCTCAGACCCTTATTGTGTCTACTGCACCGCTCAGACCCTTATTGTGTCCATGCACCGCTCAGACCCTTATTGTGTCTACTGCACAGCTCAGAGCCTTATTGTGTCCCTGCACCGCTCAGAGCCTTATTGTGTCCCTGCACCGCTCAGACCCTTATTGTGTCCCTGCACCGCTCAGAGCCTTATTGTGTCCCTGCACCGCTCAGACCCTTATTGTGTCCATGCACCGCTCAGAACCTTATTGTGTCAACTGCACCGCTCAGAGCCTTATTGTGTCCCTGCACCGCTCAGAGCCTTATTGTGTCCCTGCACCGCTCAGACCCTTATTGTGTCTACTGCACCGCTCAGAGCCTTATTGTGTCCCTGCACCGCTCAGAGCCTTATTGTGTCTACCGCACTGCTCAAAGCTGTATTGTGTCTACTGCACCGCTCAAACCCTTATTGTGTCTACTGCACCGCTCAGACCCTTATTGTGTCCATGCACCGCTCAGACTCTTATTGTGTCTACTGCACCGCTCAGAGCCTTATTGTGTCCCTGCACCGCTCAGAGCCTTATTGTGTCCCTGCACCGCTCAGACCCTTATTGTGTCCCTGCACCGCTCAGACCCTTATTGTGTCCCTGCACCGCTCAGACCCTTATTGTGTCTACTGCACCGCTCAGACCCTTATTGTGTCCATGCACCGCTCAGACCCTTATTGTGTCTACTGCACAGCTCAGAGCCTTATTGTGTCCCTGCACCGCTCAGAGCCTTATTGTGTCCCTGCACCGCTCAGACCCTTATTGTGTCTACTGCACCGCTCAGAGCCTTATTGTGTCCCTGCACCGCTCAGAGCCTTATTGTGTCTACTGCACTGCTCAAAGCCTTAATGTGTCCCTGCACCGCTCAGAGCCTTATTGTGTCTACTGCACTGCTCAGACCCTTATTGTGTCCCTACACCGCTCAGAGCCTTATTTTGTCTACTGCACCGCTCAAAGTCTTATTGTGTCTACTGCACCGCTCAGAGCCTTGTGTCCCTGCACCGCTCAGACCCTTATTGTGTCTACCGCACTGCTCAAAGCTGTATTGTGTCTACTGCACCGCTCAGACCCTTATTGTGTCTACTGCACCGCTCAGACCCTTATTGTGTCCATGCACCGCTCAGACCCTTATTGTGTCTACTGCACCGCTCAGAGCCTTATTGTGTCCCTGCACCGCTCAGAGCCTTATTGTGTCCCTGCACCGCTCAGACCCTTATTGTGTCCCTGCACCGCTCAGACCCTTATTGTGTCCCTGCACCGCTCAGACCCTTATTGTGTCTACTGCACCGCTCAGACCCTTATTGTGTCCCTGCACCACTCAGACCCTTATTGTGTCTACTGCACCGCTCAGAGCCTTATTGTGTCCCTGCACCGCTCAGACCCTTATTGTGTCTACTGCACCGCTCAGAGCCTTATTGTGTCCCTGCACCGCTCAGAGCCTTATTGTGTCTACTGCACTGCTCAAAGCCTTAATGTGTCCCTGTACCGCTCAGAGCCTTATTGTGTCTACTGCACTGCTCAGACCCTTATTGTGTCCCTACACCGCTCAGAGCCTTATTTTGTCTACTGCACCGCTGAAAGTCTTATTGTGTCTACTGCACCACTCAGAGCCTTGTGTCCCTGCACCGCTCAGACCCTTATTGTGTCTACCGCACTGCTCAAAGCTGTATTGTGTCTACTGCACCGCTCAGACCCTTATTGTGTCTACTGCACCGCTCAGACCCTTATTGTGTCCATGCACCGCTCAGACCCTTATTGTGTCTACTGCACCGCTCAGAGCCTTATTGTGTCCCTGCACCGCTCAGAGCCTTATTGTGTCCCTGCACTGCTCAGACCCTTATTGTGTATACTGCACCGCTCAGAGCCTTATTGTGTCCCTGCACCGCTTAGAGCCTTATTGTGTCTACTGCACTGCTCAAAGCCTTAATGTGTCCCTGCACCGCTCAGAGCCTTATTGTGTCTACTGCACTGCTCAGACCCTTATTGTGTCCCTACACCGCTCAGAGCCTTATTTTGTCTACTGCACCGCTCAAAGTTTTATTGTGTCTACTGCACTGCTCAGAGCCTTGTGTCCCTGCACCGCTCAGACCCTTATTGTGTCTACCGCACTGCTCAAAGCTGTATTGTGTCTACTGCACCGCTCAGACCCTTATTGTGTCTACTGCACCGCTCAGACCCTTATTGTGTCCATGCACCGCTCAGACCCTTTTTGTGTCTACTGCACCGCTCAGAGCCTTATTGTGTCCCTGCACCGCTCAGACCCTTATTGTGTCCCTGCACCGCTCAGACCCTTATTGTGTCCCTGCACCGCTCAGACCCTTATTCTGTCTACTGCACCGCTCAGACCCTTATTGTGTCCATGCACCGCTCAGACCCTTATTGTGTCTACTGCACCGCTCAGAACCTTATTGTGTCCCTGCACCGCTCAGACCCTTATTGTGTCTACTGCACCGCTCAGAGCCTTATTGTGTCCCTGCACCGCTCAGAGCCTTATTGTGTCTACTGCACTGCTCAAAGCCTTAATGTGTCCATGCACCGCTCAGAGCCTTATTGTGTCTACTGCACTGCTCAGACCCTTATTGTGTCCCTACACCGCTCAGAGCCTTATTTTGTCTACTGCACCGCTCAAAGTCTTATTGTGTCTACTGCACCGCTCAGAGCCTTGTGTCCCTAAACCGCTCAGACCCTTATTGTGTCTACCGCACTGCTCAAAGCTGTATTGTGTCTACTGCACCGCTCAGACCCTTATTGTGTCCCTGCACCGCTCAGACCCTTATTGTGTCTACTGCACCGCTCAGAGCCTTATTGTGTCCCTGCACCGCTCAGAGCCTTATTGTGTCCCTGCACTGCTCAGACCCTTATTGTGTCTACTGCACCGCTCAGAGCCTTATTGTGTCCCTGCACCGCTCAGAGCCTTATTGTGTCTACTGCACTGCTCAAAGCCTTAATGTGTCCCTGCACCGCTCAGAGCCTTATTGTGTCTACTGCACTGCTCAGACCCTTATTGTGTCACTACACCGCTCAGAGCCTTATTTTGTCTACTGCAACGCTCAAAGTCTTATTGTGTCTACTGCACCGCTCAGAGCCTTGTGTCCCTGCACCGCTCAGACCCTTATTGTGTCTACCGCACTGCTCAAAGCTGTATTGTGTCTACTGCACCGCTCAGACCATTATTGTGTCTACTGCACCGCTCAGACCCTTATTGTGTCCCTGCACCGCTCAGAGCCTTATTGTGTCTACTGCACCGTTCAGAGCCTTATTGTGTTCCTGCACCACTCAGACCCTTATTCTGTCCCTGCACCACTCAGACCCTTATTGTGTCTACTGCACCACTCAGAGCCTTATTGTGTCCCTGCACTGCTCATAGCCTTATTGTGTCCCTGCACCGCTCAGACCCTTATTGTGTCTACTGCACCGCTCAGACCCTTATTGTGTCTATTGCACCGCTCAGACCCTTATTGTGTCCCTGCACCACTCAGAGCCTTATTGTGTCTACTGCACCACTCAGAGCCTTGTTGTGTCTACTGCACAGCTCAAAGCCTTATCGTGTCCCTGCACCGCTCAGACCCTTATCGTGTCTACTGCACCGCTCAGACCCTTATTGTGTCCCTGCACCGCTCAGACCCGTATTGTGTCTACTGCACCACTCAGAGCCTTATTGTGTCTACTGCACCGCTCAGACCCTTATTGTGTCCCTGCACCACTCAGAGCCTTATTGTGTCTACTGCACAGCTCAAAGCCTTATTGTGTCCCTGCACCGCTCAGACCCTTATTGTGACTACTGCACCGCTCAGACCCTTATTGTGTCCCTGCACCGCTCAGACCCGTATTGTGTCTACTGCACCACTCAGAGCCTTATTGTGTCTACTGCACCGCTCAGAGCCTTATTGTGTCTACTGCACCGCTCAGACCCTTATTGTTTCCCTGCACCGCTCAGACCCTTATTGTGTCTACTGCACCACTCAGAGCCTTATTGTGTCTACTGCGCCACTCAGAGCCTTATTGTGTCCCTGCACCGCTCAGAGCCTTATTGTGTCCCTGCACCGCTCAGAGCCTTATTGTGTCTACTGCACTGCTCAGAGCCTTATTGTGTTTACTGCACCGCTCAGAGCCTTATTGTGTTTACTGCACCGCTCAGAGCCTTATTGTGTCCCTGCACCGCTCAGAGCCTTATTGTGTCCCTGCACCGCTCAGAGCCTTATTGTGTCTACTGCACCGCTCAGAGCCTTATTGTGTTTACTGCACCGCTCAGAGCCTTATTGTGTCCCTGCACCGCTCAGAGCCTTATTGTGTCCCTGCACCGCTCAGAGCCTTATTGTGTCTACTGCACTGCTAAGAGCCTTATTGTATATACTGCAGTGACCTCACTAGCCTTACTGGTGAGCCATTATCAAGGTCTACACTGATCCTGTGAAAAAAAACGGAACTTTCTTTGACATTTCATTGTGTCTTTCAAACAATTCAAAGAAAAGACAACAAAGCAAGGGTGAGAAATAGAATGAGAAAAATGTGCTGCTTCTTCAATTCAATCTGCTGGTCATGCTCAGGACTTTGATTGTGTTTGCTGTGAAACGATTGGATCCCTATGGGTTGACTGGTTGACTGGCTGACTGGTTGACTGGCTGACTGGCTGACTGGCTGACTGGCTGACTGGTTGACTGGCTGACTGGTTGACTGGCTGACTGGCTGACTGGTTGACTGGCTGACTGGTTGACTGGCTGACTGGTTGACTGGCTGATTGGCTGACTGGTTGACTGGCTGACTGGCTGTGTGTTTTCAGAGGTAAGATAGCTAGCATGCATGCACATACGCACATACGCAAACACGCACACTCACACACACACACACACACACACACACACACACACACACACACACACACACACACACACACACACACACACACACACACACACACACACACAGCTCAGCCCAGCTAAGACACACACCAAGTTGCTGAATGAAAGATGAAAACAAACAGGTTTGGCGAGTGACTGAGGGGAGTAGAGGACGGATACCCCCTGAAGCAGCAAGTCTTGTAGTGTGAGAGAAGATTCATCCAATTTGATTGGTTAACGGCACCCTAGTACTACTTTTGTCCCATAGGCTCTGGTCAAAAGAAGTGCACTGCACAGTATAGGGAATAGGATGCCATTTCAGATACAACTTAAATCTTAGACCCAGGAAGTACTTACAGATTCCTCGTCCTTGCTGAGCAGCTTGGTGCAGGAGAGGAACTCGTCAAACTTGGAGAAAGGGATGACTGGTTCTGGTAGCTCTCTGAGATACAGCTTTAGTAGAGAGGCTACTGTATGGACATCTGTATTACTGCAGAGAGAGGAAGGAGAGAGAGAGAGAGAAGAGAGAGAGTTGGAGGAGAGAGAGGGAGGAGAGAGACAGGAGAGAGAGAGGGTGAAATAGAGAGCAAAAGATGGAGGCAGAGAGGGAGAGGAGAGGGGGAGGGACAGAGATGGAGGCAGAGAGGGAGAGGAGAGGGGGGAGAGGGAGAGGGAGCAAGATGGAGGCAGAGAGGGAGAGGAGAGGGGGGGGGAGAGGGGTAGAGAGAGTAAGATAATCCTAAATCAGGTTACTGTAGGTGGTGGTGTGTGGTGGTGGGAGGGGACCATCTCTCACATGCCTCTATCATCTCTGAGTTATGGAAGGTGTCACCATCCTGATACACACATCCCTCCCTGCTACATCCCACACAGTGGGGGTTCTATGACAACCTCTCTCTTTCTCTCTTTTGCGTTCTCTCTCTCTCTCTCTCTCTCTCTCTCTCATCCTCTCTCTCTCCTCTCTCATCTCTCTCTCTCTCTCTCTCTCTCTCTCCTCTCTCTCTCTCTCTATCTCCTCTCTCTCTCTCTCTCTCTCAGCCCCATGATTCTCTCCTCGCTCTCTCAGCTTGCATCCGCCTCCGTCTCCTTCTCTCTCTCTCTCTCCTTCTCCGTCTCTCTCTCTCATCTCTCTTTCTGTCTCCTCTCCTCTCTTCTCTCCTTCCTCTCTCTCTCACTCTTTCTGCTCCTCTCTCTCTCTCTCTCTCCTATCCTTCTCCTTCCTCTCTCTCTCTCCTCCTCTCTCACTCCTCTCTCTCTCTCTCTCCTCTCTCTCTCTCTCACTCTCTCTCTCTCTCTCTCTCCTCTCTCTCTCATCTCTCCTCTCTCTCCCCTCGCTTCACCTCTCTCGCTCCTCTCCCCTCTCACTCTCCTCCTCTCTCTCTCCTCTCCTCTCTCCCCCCCCCAGTTTTCCTTCCCCCTCCCACCCGGGTTTAAAAAGAAATAGAGTTAATTGTTTAAAAACAAGTTCCCAACCTCTATGCCGGTTTTTCTTTCTCCCCGCCCTGGTCGATAAGATTCTGAGTTTTTAAAAAAGGTTTTGGGGGGGGTTTGTTTTGGGGAGGGGGAAAATTTAAATTTTAGGGGGGGGAAAACCCCCCCCTTTTTAAAAGGGGGGTTTTTAAACCCCCCCCCCCTTTTCCCCCCCCCCCCCCCCCCCCCCCCCCCGTCCCGGTCCCCCCCAAATTCTAGGTTTTTTGGGGAACTTCCTTTTTCTCTCTTTGGGTTTGGGGGTTTTTCCTTCCCTCCCCCTCTCTCCTCTTGGGGTTCATTCCTTCCCTCCTCTCTTTCTCCTTGGTTCTTCTTATCTTCTCTCTTCTTTTCCCTTCTCTCTCCCCTCTCCCCTTTTCTCTACCTTCTCTCTCCTCTTCTCCCCTTTCTCCCCTTTTTCCCGCTCTCCTCCGATCCTTTTGCCCTCCTCCCCCCCCCTTTTCCTCCGCCCCCTCTTCCTCTTTCCCGATCTCCTCTTTTCCCCTCCCCTTCCGCTTCTCTCTCCCCTTCGCCTCCCCCTTTCCTCCTCCCTCTCTCTTCTTTTCCCCCTTCTCCCTCTACTTCCCCTTCTCTCTCTCCCCTTCCCCTCCCCCTCTCTCTCTTAAACCCCTCGCTTTTTCCCTCTCCGGGAAAAAAAAAAAGGGGGTTCAAAACCTCTTTATAAAGTCCTAATGTCTCTTCTTCCCTTCCCCCCCCCCCAGGCTCACCCCCCAACAGGAGCTGTTTCCAATTACCAGTTCCAACTCAGTGTTTAGAATGGGGGAAGTTTTAAAACAGCCCAACTCTATCCCGTGTTTCTTTTCCCGCGGCCCTGGTCGCTATGGAAGAATTCTGAGCTAGAATACTACCGGAGGACTGTCAGTGTCAGAATGTAATCAACACAGACCCCATCTCCCTCCCACCCTTTCTACCTACTTCTCTCCCTTCTTACCTCCCTCGCTTTCCCTCCCTCTCTTCCTCTTGCATGTTGAATACTCCTGCAAGTTTCCTATTGACATCAATGGATGATTTACACTGAAGTCTGAGTTATGCACACTTAACTCTGCTCTGAATCGGCCTCTACACTGTAAAACAGGATAGGTTCTGGCACCTCAAACAATTTTGAGGAAACCGATTTCATTAAAAAAATTAGGTTAAGAAACTTAAATAGCTCAAGTAAGCAGTACTACCTTCATATGAGTAATACAAATGCTGCTTTTTTTGAGTAAGGTATACTTAAATAGTAGGGTTGCAAAATTCCATAAACTCCCCCACCAAAAAAAACTGTAATCTTCCAATCAGGATTTCTGGAAAACCTGGGAAATTTACCAGAATTTTGCAACTCTAACTGTCTATCATATTATGCTGGCTTGCAAAGTGATGTGTAAATCCAATTGGAATTTTAGCCAGCATTAGGCTATCCAGCAGTTGAAATGTGTATTTACCCACAACCTATATTCATAATGACTGCCAGGGTTAAGAACATAAGAACAGTGGGAGGAAACTACCTTTTAATTTAACCATTTAACCTGGAACAACCATTTCAGTAACGGGTGCAAAAATTCAATGATTGGATTCGTTTAGAATTGTTTTGTAAATCTTTGTGTAGCATAACATTTAATAAGTCAATCGCTCAAAGTACATGCAAAAACACAGATATTAAAAACAATTCCAAAAAATCAACCTGCAGGAGAGCATGCTGGGAAAAAAGTTCATTTGTAAAAATAAAATAAAAATAGTTGGTGTGAATTCTTATTTAGCTTTGAGTCAGTACCACATAAACCTTTTAAGTAATAATAACTTTTCATTGACTTTGAGTTCAACTTACTAGAAGTATTTGAGTTAAAAATGCCTTGGGGTTTACAGTGTAAGTCCCTATAAGAATAAATAGCCACCCTATCTGAGAACTCATATAGGTAACGTGACTGACATGCATATCAACAGGCAGAGTTGTGAGTATTCTGTCGGACCATGGTAAAAGTCATTACAGGTAGAGTTGTCAGCATTCTGTCGGACCATGGTAAAAGTCATTACAGGTAAGGTGTCTGAGCATCCCATAACAATGCCCTGAGGCATTAGGTTGATGTGCCTAAAGCTGTCTGTCACCGCTTTCCACTCCCGGATTTAATTTCCAGTCTGGGAATTATTATTACTGTGGGAATGACTTATAACATCCTGGCGGGCCTCGATACAGAATTAGCAGGAAATAGGATAAAAAATATGGAATTTGATTTGAGATTCTATATATTGCAGAGTGAATAAGTGTGGCTTAAGCAACGCCAAGGCTGTGGGTTCCCATACACATCCTAATATTGACTTGCACCCCCTTTTGCCCTCAGAACAGTCTCAATTCGTCGGGGCATGGACTCTACAAGGAGTCGAAAGCGTTCCACAGGGATGCTGGCCCATGTTGACTCCAATGCTTCCCACAGTTGTGTCAAGTTGGCTGGATGTCCTTTGGGTGGTGGACCATTCTTGATACACACGGGAAACTGTTGAGCGTGAAAAACCCAGCAACTTTGCAGTTCTTGACACAAACCGGTGCGCCTGGCACCTACTACCATAACCCGTTCAAAGGCACTTAAATCTTTTGTCTTGCCCACTCACCCTCTGAATGGCACACATACACAATCCATGTCTCAAATGTCTCAAGGCTGAAAAATCCTTCTTTAACCTGTCTCCTCCCCTTCATCTACACTGATTGAAGTGGGTTTAACAAGTGACATCAATTAGGGATCATAGCTTTCACCTGGATTCACCTGGTCAGTCTGTCATGGAAAGAGCATGTGTCCTTAATGTTTTGTACACTCAGTGTATATACAGTATATTGCTGGCATGCAGTCCAAGGACGGGTTTTCCTTCAAATATTACATACTGTACACTACCGGTCAAAAGTCTTAGAACACCTACTCATTCAAGGGTTTTTCTTTATTTTTACTATTTTCTACATTGTACAATAATAGTGAAGACATCAAAACTATGAAATAACACATATGGAATCATGTAGTAACCAAAAAAGTGTTAAACAAATCAAAATATATTTTATATTTCAGATTCTTCAAATAGCCACCCTTTGCCTTGATGACAGCTTTGCACACTCTTGGCATTCTCTCAACCAGCTTCATGATGAATGCTTTTCCAACTGTCTTGAAGGAGTTCCCTCATATGTTGAGCACTTGTTGGCTGCTTTACCTTCACTCTGCGGTCCGACTCATCCCAAACCATCTCCATTTGTTTGAGGTCGGGGGACTGTGGATGCCAGGTCATCTGATGCAGCACTCCATCACTCTCCTTCTTGGTAAAATAGCACTTACACAGCCTGGAGGTATGTTGGGTCATTGTCCTGTTGAAAAATAAATGATAGTCCCACTAAGCCCAAACCAGATGGGATGGCATATCGCTGCAGAATGCTGTGGTAGCCATGCTGGTTAAGTGTGCCTTGAATTCTAAATAAATCACAGACAGTGTCACCAGCAAAGCACCCCCACACCATAACACTTCCTCTTCCATGCTTTACGGTGGGAAATACACATGCAAAGATTACCCGTTCACCCCAGCCAATTTGGACTCCAGAACAAAGGACACATTTCCACCGGTCTAATGTCCATTGCTTGTGTTTCTTGGCCCAAGCAAGTCTCTTCTTCTTATTGGTGTCGTTAAGTAGTGGTTTCTTTGCAGCAATTCGACCATGAAGGCCTGATTCACACAGTCTCCTCTGAACCGTTGATGTTGAGATGTGTCTGTGACTTGAACTATGTGAAGCATTTATTTGGGCTGCAATTTCTGAGGCTGGTAACTCTAATTAACTTATCCTCTGCAGCAGAGGTAACTCTGGGTCTTCCATTCCTGTGGCTGTCCTCATGAGAGCCAGTTTCATCATAGCGCTTGATGGTTTTTGCGACTGCACTTGAAGAAACTTTCAAAGTTCTTGAAATGTTCCATATTGACTGACCTTCAAGTCTTAAAGTAATGATGGACTGTCGTTTCTCTTTGCTTATTTGAGCTGTTCTTGCCATAATATGGACTTGGTATTTTACCAAACAGGGCTATCTTCTGTATACCCCCCCTACCTTGTCACAACACAACTGGTTGTCTCAAACGCATTAAGAAGGAAAGAAATTCCACAAATGCACTTTTAACAAGGCACATCTGTTAGTTGAATTTATTCCAGGTGACTACCTCATGAAGCTGGTTGAGAGAATGCCAAGAGTGTGCAAAGCTGTCATCAAGGCAAAGGGTGGCTATTTGAAGAATCTGAAATATAAAATATATTTTGATTTGTTTAACACTTTTTTGGTTACTACATGATTCCATATGTGTTATTTCATAGTTTTGATGTCTTCGCTATTATTCTACAATGTAGAAAATAGTAAAAATAAAGAAAAACCCTTGAATGAGTAGGTGTTCTAAAACTCTTGACCGGTAGTGTATATATATATACACCAGTGGAGGCTGGTGGAGGGAGAGATAAGGAGGACAGGCTCATAATGGAATGGAATTAACAGAATCGTATCAAACACATGCAAAGGAAAGTTGTGCATTTACATTTGTACACGCTTCTCATCTCGTTTACAGTAAAACGTAACATATCTTTACATACCAGTCGAAGGAGGGCTTCTCTCCGCAGTCGAAGGCATCCTGCAGCTCTTTGACTAGGTTGGCCTGCCCTGGTAGCCTGAAGAGTCCTTCCTCCCGTAGGCCCGACTTGCGTATAAAGTCCACACACTGCTCCACCAGCATGGGAGCCTGCCTGCTCCCGTAACGCCTCTCATACTGTACCGTCTCCTCCAGCTTCTGACCAAAGATACCTGGCAGAGACACAAACACACAGCTCAATGTTAGGACTTAGGATGTATAGTGTGACTTTCTTGTTAAATCTGTGTTTTTTCCAAAGACATCCAGTACACGATGAGTACCAACTCATTGGCATGTGGAATGCTTGCTATAGGATGTTTAATAGCACATGGAGATCAACTCACAGCAAAGGTTATCAAAGGTAATATAACATTGTGCACTATGAAGCACACTGTATTAGTGTTTAGTAAACAGTGATTTTTTTTTTTTTAAACAGTGATGTTTTGAGATTTCTGCTTCAGGATTTTCACAACTAGATTATTTTAGCATTTTCTGATAGAACGTTAAAGGGAAAATATCCTGTCAAACCAAGGCATCACATCAAGCCCATTAAAAAAAACAGATTCATCCCCCAATCTGCATATATCAAAGAGGAAGAAACTGGTGCATATTACTAAAGCCACAAAGAGAACAGCATCAAAGGAGTACTGGGGGATTCTAAACCATCTGATTCATTCCAATGGAATCTTTTTTTCTGTTCTCAGCCTACGATAACTCTGACTCTGCCCACTGTAGTAAATAATATGTATTATTAATCCCTCACAAAACACCTACAAAACCAAGCGATTAAATCAAACTTCCTCCTCTCCTCTCCTCTCCTCTCCTCTCCTCTCCTCTCCTCTCCTCTCCTCTCCTCTCCTCTCCTCTCCTCTCCTCTCCTCTCCTCTCCTCTCCTCTCCTCTCCTCTCCTCTCCTCTCCTCTCCTCTCCTTTGTTCTGTTCTGTTCTCCTCTGCTCTGCTCTGCTCTGTTCAACTCTCTGCTGCTCTAGCCTTTTGTCTGTGTCAATCCATTAGAAAAAATTGTGATTCACATCAGACCTGGGTTCAAATGCTATTTGAAATCATCTAAAAAAACGTTGTATGTGCTTGATTGAGCATGCCTGACTTCATGGACTAATAAAATAGCCCTAAAACAGGACAACCTGCCCATATGGCACTTCAGGCAGATTGACACAAATGCTCAAAGTATTTGAAAGATTTCAAATAGTGTTTGAATCCAGGTGTGATTCACATTTAGGGGGTCTCATGCGGACGGCGTACAACAAGGGATTAGGGCTGCTGAGGCTGCCTTCCCGAGAGCTTTGGATCTGCTGCATACTGTTCTGGTCTCCAGACACAGCCAGAGACAGAGGCCTGGCCCTGAACACAACATGTGGTAGGCTACAATGAGGTACGGCATAGCCTACAAGAGCAACTGCAACAGTCTAACTCTAATTCTGTTGTTTGGAATCCTGCACGTTCCTAAAGTGTGTTGTTACAATCTTACCAACGAGTTGATACAGAAACATTCTGTAACGTTGAGCTAGCAGAATGACAAAACACTCAGCAACCCTCACTTATAATACAGTGTCTTGTCAACAGTATATCTCAACGCTGAACCCATAAACGAGCATGACATTGTCATCACAGACACACAACACGTAGGTTTTCCATTAGCCAGAAGTGGTTCAACTATTCTGGTATGTAAACTCATGAAACACGTAACCCGACCCTCTCTTCACACGCGGCTGTGTCCAGATGAGTCGCGACGTGTTTAACTCACCCCTCTTGAAGCTGACACAACTTCTAATTTTCCGATAGATGCTCCGATTAATAAAGCTATGGTAAGTGAGAGCACTGGAGGAACACAGTTTAAAGTCCCTGTGCTCCAGCATCGTTGGAGACGAGGGAACAGAGGAGTACGGCATTCGAGCAGCTGTGTGATCAGATAGAGAGAGAGATGTGACAGGCATGTCCCATGGGTCTGACAACTTTGTCATTGTTTGTGGTTTTCAGTGAGGTCTTAGTTTCTCTGTTTCTAACACTAAAACAGCAGAGTGCTGTGGTAAGAGGAGCTCGTCAAACAGGAGAAATACAGTTTTAGTTTGTAGACATTTTCACGTTTTCTCTCCCCTGGGTTCTCTTCTAGTCTTCTGTTTCGGTCCTCTTGGTCTCCATTCATTCAGTTAAAACATTCAATAGAATGTGACTTCAGATCTTCAAAAAATCCACAGATCAGACTAAGAAAACCTCTCACTCATAAAAAGGAAGAGTTTACCTTGAATGACTTCAGCATTCCTCAAGGGGAGGCGTGAACAAAGTTTCCAGACTAATTTATTCAAGAAAGGAATGAAACATTAAAGGGATGAAACATTAAAGGAATGAAACATTAAAGGGATGAAACAAGAAAGGAATGAAACAAGAAAGGGATGAAACATTAAAGGAATGAAACATTAAAGGGATGAAACAAGAAAGGAATTAAACATTAAAGGGATGAAACATTAAAGGAATGAAACAAGAAAGGGATGAAACAAGAAAGGAATGAAACATTAAAGGGATGAAACATTAAAGGAATGAAACATTAAAGGGATGAAACATTAAAGGGATGAAACAAGAAAGGAATGAAACAAGAAAGGGATGAAACATTAAAGGAATGAAACATTAAAGGGATGAAACAAGAAAGGAATGAAACATTAAAGGGATGAAACATTAAAGGAATGAAACAAGAAAGGAATGAAACATTAAAGGAATGAAACATTAAAGGGATGAAACAAGAAAGGAATGAAACAAGAAAGGAATGAAACAAGAAAGGAATGAAACAAGAAAGGAATGAAACATTAAAGGAATGAAACATTAAAGGAATTAAACAATAAAGGGATGAAACAAGAAAGGAATGAAACATTAAAGGAATGAAACAAGAAAGGAATGAAACAAGAAAGGAATGAAACATTAAAGGAATGAAACAAGAAAGGAATGAAACATTAAAGGGATGAAACAAGAAAGGAATGAAACATTAAAGGAATGAAACATTAAAGGAATGAAACATTAAAGGGATGAAACAAGAAAGGAATGAAACAAGAAAGGAATTAAACAAGAAAGGAATTAAGCAAGAAAGGAATGAAACATTAAAGGAATGAAACAAGAAAGGAATGAAACAATAAAGGAATGAAACAAGAAAGGGATGAAACAAGAAAGGGATGAAACAAGAAAGGAATGAAACAAGAAAGGAATGAAACATTAAAGGAATTAAACAAGAAAGGAATGAAACAAGAAAGGAATGAAACATTAAAGGAATGAAACAATTAAAGGAATGAAACAAGAAAGGAATGAAACATTAAAGGAATGAAACAAGAAAGGAATGAAACAAGAAAGGAATGAAACATTAAAGGAATGAAACAAGAAAGGAATGAAACAATAAATGGAATGAACATTAAAGGAATGAAACAAAAGGAATAAACAAGAAAGAATGAAACAAGAAGGAATGAAACAAAAGGAATGAACATTAAAGGAATGAAACATTAAGGAATGAAACAAGAAAGGAATGAAACATTAAAGGAATGAAACATTAAGGAATGAAACATTAAAGAATGAACATTAAAGGATGAAACAAGAAAGGAATGAAACAAGAAAGGAATTAAACAAGAAAGGAATTAAGCAAGAAAGGAATGAAACATTAAAGGAATGAAACAAGAAAGGAATGAAACAATAAAGGAATGAAACAATAAAGGGATGAAACAAGAAAGGAATGAAACAAGAAGGGAATGAAACATTAAAGGAATGAAACAAGAAAGGAATGAAACAAGAAAGGAATGAAACATTAAAGGAATGAAACATTAAAGGAATGAAACAAGAAAGGAATGAAACAAGAAAGGAATGAAACATTAAAGGAATGAAACAAGGATGGAATGAAACAAGAAAGGAATGAAACATTAAAGGAATGAAACATTAAAGGAATGAAACAATAAAGGAATTAAACACAGACTCCCTGGCTGGTCGACAGTCTAGTCTGGTCTGGAGTGGAGACTGTGACAGCTTTACCACAGCCAATTAGCAACCTCCTTTAACACTCAGGTCCTGCCAGGTCAACTCCTCTCCTCAAGCTGACTGCCTGCTGAGCTGAGCGCTCCTGGCCCCTCCCCTCTTCATTCCATACAGCACAGTCCTCTTGTCATCCTAACCCTCCATTCTATTGCCTCCAAACACCCAGTAAAGCCAGACAGAGAGAGAGAACGAGAGAGAAAGAGAGAGAGAACAGGAGAGAGAGAAAGAGAGAGAGGCCCCTCTCACTGCCCTCCGTTGTCTGGCGTGTGTGGTGAATGCTGTTCAGGCTGCCAGACACGCACACGCACGCACGCACGCACGCACACACACACACACACACACACACACACACACACACACACACACACACACACGCACGCAAGCACGCACGCACGCACACACACACACACACACACACACACACACATTCTATCGCTAATTTCCACTGTGCTCTCTCATGGTGCTCTCTTCACTGTGCCAAAGCCCTCTTCGGAGTCCTCAGGAGTATCAGTCCTCAGGAGTATCAGTCCTCAAGAGTATCAGTCCTCAGGAGTATCAGTCCTCAAGAGTATCAGTCCTTAGGAGTATCTGTCCTCAGGAGTATCAGTCCTCAAGAGTATCAGTCCTCAGGAGTATCAGTCCTCAAGAGTATCAGTCCTTAGGAGTGTCTGTCCTCAGGAGTATCAGTCCTCAAGAGTATCAGTCCTCAGGAGTATCAGTCCTCAAGAGCATCAGTCCTCAAGAGTATGAGTCCTCAATAGTATCAGTCCTCAGGAGTATCAGTCCTCAGGAGTATGAGGAGTTTGCTGCAGAAGTCTAGGTGCGAGCGACTGTCAGAAAATATATTATACTCCAAAATGCATGAAAATTGACGATTGTGACTCTCGTTCACGCCACTGCTTGCTCTGTTTGCTACAAATATACGGGGGTTCACAGGGGATACATTAGAAGACTCATGAGACCATAGGATTACTGGTAAAATGCACAAGAGGGGGTACTTCAAGGGTACTCCGGGCTGAGCAAAAGTCAGTTGGCGGTACAGTAACCTAAAAAGGTTGAGTTACGGCTGGTTGACCCCACTCCTTTCATCTAAAGCCAAGAGCTCAATGCCGTTAGACTATTTCATAGGGCTATAGTCTCAAGCTGGCCATAACTCCTCTCTGTCAGCATACTGGAGCTATTTGTTTGAGTGGTGTGTGTGTGTGTGTGTGTGTGTGTGTGTGTGTGTGTGTGTGTTTGTGTTTGAGTGGTCTGTCTACAATAGAAAGCCCTATATTACATTATTCTCCCTGTTGCGAGACAGCCTACAGGGAGGAGGTGAGGGCCCTGGTGGAGTGATGCCAGGAAAATAACCTCCTCCCTCAACGTCAACAAAACGTAGGAGCTGATCGTGGACTTCAGGAGACAGCAGAGGGAGCACACCCCCATCCACATCGACGGGGCCGCAGTGGAGAAGGTGAAAAGCTTCAAGTTCCTCGGCGTGCACATCACTGACAATCTGAAATGGTCCACCCACACAGACAGTGTGGTGAGGAAGGAGCAACAGTGCCTCTACAACCTCAGGAGGCTGAAGAAATTTGCCTTGACCCCTAAGACCCTCACAAACTTTTACAGATGCACCATTGAGAGCATTCTGTCGGGCAGTATCACCGCCTGGTATGGCAACTGCACAGCCTGCAACCGCAGGGCTCTTCAGAGGGTGGTGCAGTCTGCACATAGCAGCATTGAGGGCACACTGCCTGCCCTCCAGGACATCTACAGCACCCGGTGTCACAGGAAGGCCAAGAAGATAATCAAGGACCTCCGCCACCTGAGCCAAGGCCTGTTCACCCCGCTACCTTCCAGAAGGCGAGGTCAGTACAGGTGCATCAAAGCTGGGACCGAAAGACTGATAAACAGCTTCTATCTCAAGGCCATCAGTCTGTTAAATAGCCACCACTAGCTGGCCTCCGCCCAGTTACTCTGCCCTGAACTTTAGTCACTGTTACTAGCCGGCTACCACCCGGTACTCTACCCTGCACCTTAGAGACTTCTGCCCTATGTATATAGTCATTGAACACTGGTCACTTGAATAATGTTTACATACTGTTTTACCCACTTCATATGTATAAACTGTATTCTAGTCAAGACCTATCCTATTTAACTATTGCTGTACATATACTATTCTTCAGATATACTACATATTCTATCCATATACTGTCTATATAATCTATACATCCCATCATAATAATAATAATAATATGCCATTTAGCAGACGCTTTTATCCAAAGCGACTTACAGTCATGCGTGCATACATTTTTGTGTATGGGTGGTCCCGGGGATCGAACCCACTATGCCAAGGGTGTGCAAAGCTGTCATCAAGGCAAAGGGTGGCTACTTTGAAGAATCTCAAATATAAAATATATTTTGATTTGTTTAACAATTTTTTGATTACTACATGATTCCATATGTGTTATTTAATAGTTTTGATGTCTTCACTATTATTCTATAATGTAGAAAATAGTACAAATAAAGAAAAATCCTGGAATGAGTAGGTGTGTCCAAACGTTTGACTGGTACTGTATATATTTATACACCGGAGTCCTGCATTGCTCGTCCTAATATTTCAATATTTCTTAATTCCAAGAAGAACTGTCAGCAGCAGTCAATATTTCACAGGATAGTAATGTATTCAGTCATTGAGCATTTCCTTCTTGAATCAATATCATTTAACTTACAAGAGGACCTTTTCTAAAATGTTAAGATCTTTAGAAAATATATTCCAAACGATGAAAAATAACTCTAGTTTCAAGTATAATGAGGGCTTGCCATTTTTCAGACTAAAGTTAAATCGAACAAATGTAAATTAAAGAGAATTATTCAAGTCCCTATACTTTACAGCTGAACATAGAGAACTAATCATTGACAGAGATATCAGCAGAGAGCAACACAGATGAATAGAAAATATGGAAAGACCAACAGAGAGATATACTAGAGAAAGACAGACCAAGAGAAAGATAGCATAGAGAAAGATAGCATAGAGAAAGATAGCATAGAGAAAGATAGACCAAGATAAAGATAGCATAGAGAAAGATAGCATAGAGAAAGATAGCGTAGAGAAAGATAGCATAGAGAAAGATAGCATAGAGAAAGATAGCATAGAGAAAGATAGACCAAGATAAAGATAGCATAGAGAAAGATAGCATAGAGAAAGATAGCATAGAGAAAGATAGCATAGAGAAAGATAGCATAGAGAAAGATAGACCAAGATAAAGATAGCATAGAGAAAGATAGCATAGAGAAAGATAGACCAAGATACAGATAGCATAGAGAAAGATAGCATAGAGAAAGATAGCATAGAGAAAGATAGCATAGAGAAAGATAGACCAAGATAAAGATAGCATAGAGAAAGATAGCATAGAGAAAGATAGACCAAGATAAAGATAGCATAGAGAAAGATAGCATAGAGAAAGATAGCATAGAGAAAGATAGCATAGAGAAAGATAGACCAAGATAAAGATAGCATAGAGAAAGATAGCATAGAGAAAGATAGCATAGAGAAAGATAGACCAAGAGAAAGATAGAATAGAGAAAGATAGCATATAGAAAGATAGCATAGAGAAAGATAGCATAGAGAAAGATAGCATAGAGAAAGATAGCATAGAGAAAGATAGACCAAGATAAAGATAGCATAGAGAAAGATAGCATAGAGAAAGATAGCATAGAGAAAGATAGCATAGAGAAAGATAGCAGAGAAAGATATACCATAGAGAAAGATACCATAGAGAAAGATAGCATAGAGAAAGATAGCATAGAGAAAGATAGCAGAGAAAGATATACCATAGAGAAAGATAGCATAGAGAAAGATAGCATATAGAGAGCAACACAGGTGCTGAAGGGGTTGGGTGGCACTGCCTTGACCATCATGGAATCTCTACACCTTTTGGGGTTGATGTGATATTGTACCTGGCTGACCTGGTGACCTGCTGACCTTTGACCTTGGGGCAGGTAATGTCACACAGGGCAGGTAAAAGCCCACAGGGAACCTGGTCTCAGTGGATGGAACTCCATCTTCCTGAGACCGCCATTGGGGAGAGCGTGGCTGGCTTCTCAGACTACACAGGTTGGTGAGTGGGGTGTTCCCTAGGACATACACCTGAGTTGGAACACAAAAGGAGACCGATCCCACATCCAGTGCTAATAAATTGCACTAATATGCATTAGCTTAGTCTCCGATCATAAAGATTGATGAGGAATAGGTGTAACAAAATGGAGTTTAATCACCATCTCATCTCCACAAATTAACCACCAGTAAGTAGGTAACACTCCCAAAAGCACATTTTCCAGAGTAAGAGATAACTTCTCTATCTTAGCGAACTTTTCTCTGTCGGGTGTCGTCCTAGAGGGTCCGTGGGTTAATGTAACCTCATCGAGCAGCTCAGTTGTAATATGACAGGAACGATGTGGGGGTGGATAGCTACTGAACAGCTACCCAAGATACTAACGCTGTTCTGGGCCAAACCCTTTGGTTAAGGGAGCTCCCTGCCTCTACCGTACCAGGCCGACCGAACAGAACATGGCCCATGGATTTTAATCACATCTCTCTAGGGTATTATCTCTCCAATAGCCTCAGTCTCAGTCTCAGTCTCTCTCTCTCTCTCTCTCTGTGTGTGTGTGTGTGTGTGTGTGTCTGTGTGTGCATCCCCAACTGCAGCAATATGTCAAAGGAAGCCCTCCTATATATGAGGCTGTGTGCTGAGGGTGCTGTGTTGTGTGTGAGTGTGTGTGTTGTGTGTGAGTGTGTGTACATGTTTTCCTACCTTATCTGTGTGTGTGTGTGTGTGTGTGTGTGTGTGTGTGTGTGTGTGTGTGTGTGTGTGTGTGTGTGTGTGTGTGTGTGTGTGTGTGTGTGTGTGCGTGCGTGCGTGCGTGCGTGTATGTGTGCAGTTGTAAATTTGCCACTCTTTTTTAGATTGAGTCTTAGTTATTTTGACTAAAATATCATTTGAATAATTATTTAGTCTAGATATTGTCAAAATGAGAGAGAGAGAGAGAGAGAGAGAGAGCGAGAGAGAGAGAGAGATGAGAAAAGGCAGAGAACGCAGAGAGATCAAGAATGAGAGAGAAGAGGAGAGAGAGAGAGAGAGAAGAGGAGGAGATAGGAATAGCAGAGCAGCAGAGACGATGCTAGAGAGAAGCAATGCCAGCATAAGCATGCTATAGCTTATCTCTCCTCTCTCTCTCTCTCTGCTCTCTCTCTCATCTTCTCTCTCTCTCTCTCTCTCTCTCTCTCTCGCTCTCTCTCATCTCTTCTCTCTCTCTCCTCTCTTCCTCTTCTCTTCTTCCCCTCTCTCTCTCTCTCTCTCCTCTCCATCTCGCTCCTCTCCTCTCTCTACCCTCTCTACGCCTACTCTCTCTCCTCCCCTCTCCTCTCTCTCTCTCTCTCTCTCTCTCTCCCTCTCTTCCTCTCTCTCTCCTATCGAGATTAGATAGGCACCAAGTCAAACAGATTTTTGCCAATCCCCATGTGTTGCCGCAAGTATTGGCAAAGTAGTATGGGTTGCACCTCTGTCACTCGGTGGCGTCATTGCCATTGTGATCAACGTTCCACAGACACCTCAGCAACATTGGTGTCCAGAACGGGAGCTAATGACTGTTTTGCCAGCGGTTGTAGTCGAGCCACTAAACCATGAGTCCCAATCAAGTCCCAAGTTCCTACGTTGCATCCTGCTGAACGTGCCCCATGTTGTTAGCTATAGCTAGCTAATGAGGTAACGTGGTTAATGGTTAATGATCTGGTCCGCAAGCAGCCTTGTTTGCGGCCTGCCAATGCACGACAGAAATACATATTTTGAGCGGTAAGGGCTAGAATCAAGAACTGCACGGTGCATCTGTGCTGCTAATATTAATTGTGCTGGTCACTGAAAAGCTCTCAATCTCTCCAAAAACTCTTGTCCAGTCCACTGAACAGAGGTCATTTCGTCTTTTCTCATTTCAGTTAACCGAAACATTATTTTTGTTAGTTATAGTTTTTTCTGGGTCTATTTTGTCAGTTGTAGTCTCATCAACTGCCACAAAAAAAAATAGGTGTTTGACGAAATATTTTAGTCACTATTTCTGTTGACGAAATGAACACTGGTGTGTGTGTGTGTGTGTGTGTGTTAGAGCACACAATCTGTGTTGGTGTTTCAGAGATCAAATGATTCCTTCATAAATGCAGCGTTGAATGAGATATGCTTTATTTTTGACAAGACATTCAACTCCAGCCTCTAGATGGAATGACAAGTAGACACGCCCTCCTCACACTGATAATATTGACACTATAGGGTTAATCTCAGAGACACGCCCTCCTCACACTGATAATATTGACACTATAGGGTTAATCTCAGAGACACGCCCTCCTCACACTGATAATATTGACACTATAGGGTTAATCTCAGAGACACGCCCTCCTCACACTGATAATATTGACACTATAGGGTTAATCTCAGAGACACGCCCTCCTCACACTGATAATATTGACACTATAGGGTTAATCTCAGAGACACGCCCTCCTCACACTGATAATATTGACACTATAGGGTTAATCTCAGAGACACGCCCTCCTCACACTGATAATATTGACACTATAGGGTTCATCACAGAGACACGCCCTCCTGATAATAATGATTTCTTGTGCTAAAAAACAACACATAGAACCAGTCACAGATTAAGTCTAGTCTTGGACTCAAATGCACGCATCATGGGTGTACTAACCTCCACCAAAGGGGGCCCATATGACCCTGCGTATGGTCTTCACCCAATCCTCCATGTCATTCTGGGTGCTGGCCATAAGAAGGTAGGTCTCATGATTCGCTGTCATCCGTTCCCTGTCTCCCCCTGCAAGGAGGTAGAGGAGAAAGAAAGGGAAAAGAAAGCCTGAGTAAAACATGAAGACTTGACGAGGACCTAAGAGGTCAACATGTCTCCAATAAACCACATGGAACAGTGGAGGCGGCTGAGGGGAGGACGGCTCACAATAACGTCCCGGAAACAGAGCGAATGGAATGGCGTGTGTTTGTTGCATTTGTTCGTTTTATTTGTTACCATTCCACTAGCCCATCCTCCCCAATGAAGGTGCCACCAACCTCATGTGACATGGAGGACATAGAGTGCATCGTTTATTTGGTATCATTAGAAAACATGAAATAGTAGGCTACCCAGATATAATATGGACATGTTAAAGCGTTCGATAAAAACAGTTATCATCTGCTGTAACACTAATAACATAATTAGAACACAGTGGATTCCATCTGCTATAACACTAATAACATAATTAGAACACAGTGGATTCCATCTGCTATAACACTAATAACATAATAAGAACACAGTGGATTCCATCTGCTATAACACTAATAACATAATAAGAACACAGTGGATTCCATCTGCTATAACACTAATAACATAATAAGAACACAGTGGATTCCATCTGCTATAACACTAATAACATAATAAGAACACAGTGGATTCCATCTGCTGTCAACACCACAGTAAAATGACTTATTAACAGTGTCAGCCTAACAGATGCTTGTCGGCAGTGGGGCTGTGTCTGTGCTGCTATAATGGTCTGTCATTACAGGGGGACTTAGAGGGGTCATTGACGCCCCAGGCAGACAAAATCAAGGTGCAGACTGACACAGACGTCTAGGGCTCTCACAGTCTCAGTGTGTCTCAGTGTGTCTCAGTGTGTGTGTGTGTGTGTGTGTGTGTGTGTTTGTGTGTGTGTTTGTAACATCAAGGGGTCTCAGCCTCACACACCAGGAGTATGTTCTCCAGACAGACCAGATGTACAACCTTAGAGACATTTTACGTCTATGGCCTGATAATCACACCAACACTGTCTATGGCCTGATAATCACACCAACACTGTCTATGGCCTGATAATCACACCAACACTGTCTATGGCCTGATAATCACACCAACACTGTCTATGGCCTGATAATCACACCAACACTGTCTATGGCCTGATAATCACACCAACACTGTCTATGGCCTGATAATCACACCAACACTGTCTATGGCCTGATAATCACACCAACACTGTCTATGGCCTGATAATCACACCAACACTGTCTATGGCCTGATAATCACACCAACACTGTCTATGGCCTGATAATCACACCAACACTGTCTATGGCCTGATAATCACACCAACACTGTCTATGGCCTGATAATCACACCAACACTGTCTATGGCCTGATAATCTCACCAATAATGTACTGCATATAAGATACTACCGTAATGTACTGCATATAAGATATTACCGTAATGTAGTGTATATATGAGAAGAAAAAGTATGCACTCACTAACTGTAAGTCGCTCTGGATAAGAGCGTCTGCTAAATGACTAAAATGTAAAATACTACCGTAATGTAGTGTGTAAAAGATATTACCGTAATGTAGTGTGTAAAAGATATTACCGTAATGTAGTGTGTAAAAGATATTACCGTAATGTAGTGTATATAAGATACTACCGTAATGTAGTGTATATAAGATACTACCGTAATGTAGTGTGTATAAGATACTACCATAATGTAGTGTATATTATAGTCAGAGACACTCCCTTCTGTTCCCCCAGGATTGGCTGAGTATCCTGTATTGGGCTCTCGGTGGGAAACGGCTCTAAAAAACTCAGACATTTGATACATGTCGTTGGAGGGCTTAAAGGGCTTGAAGGGGTTTAAGGTTCCAAATGCAATGCTTTTATTACCGTGACAATAGTTCCAGACCTGTGTACCAGTTAAACCCCTCATGGAAACGCTTACCGTAAAGCTACACCAGTTTGTTCTAAAAGGACAATCAAATACATTCTTCAGATAGAGATCTTGTATGAATCTTGTTGAAGTGTGGTTGGAGATGTCTCCCGAGTGGCGCAGTGGTCTAAGGCACTGCATTGCAGTGCTAGCTGTGCCACTAGAGATCCTGGTTCGAATCCAGGCTCTGTTGTAGCCGGCCGCGACCGGGAGACCCATGGGGCGGCGCACAATTGGCCCAGGGTAGGGTAGGGGAGGGAATGGCCAGCAGGGATGTAGCTCAGTTGGTAGAGCATGGTGTTTGCAACGCCAGGGTTGTGGGTTAGATTCCCACGGGGGGCCAGTATAAAATATATATAATAAAAATGTATGCACTCACTAACTGTAAGTTGCTCTGGATAAGAGTGTCTGCTAAATGACTAAAATGTAAATGTAGCCTAATAGTTAAGAGAGAAATGATTGGGCACAGACTAAATTATTAATGTGGCTCATGCTGTCTGCACCTCTCCCCAGAAACCAGGCTCTTCCATCCTCTCCATTGATTTTCATCCAGCAGGAGATATCGCTGTGTCAGCTATTAGCAATGTATTTATAGAACAGCAGCATGAAAACTAACCAATGTGTTTAGTCAGGAAGATGACACTGTAAATTACTCTCTGTTCTTTTTCTGTAGCCTACACTGTCTGGCTGGGGGGGTATAGGGGTCTGGCTGGGGGGTATAGGGGGTCTGGCTGGGGGTATAGGGGTCTGGCTGGGGGTATAGGGGTCTGGCTGGGGGTATAGGGGTCTGGCTTGGGGGTATAGGGGTCTGCTGGGGGTATAGGGGTCTGCTGGGATGGGGGGGTATAGGGGTCTGCTGGGCTTAGGGTCTGGGGGGTATAGGGGTCTGGCTGGGGGGTATAGGGGTCTGGCTGGGGGGTATAGGGGTCTGGCTGGGGGGGTATAGGGGGTCTGGCTGGGGGGGTATAGGGGTCTGGCTGGGGGGTATAGGGGGTCTGGCTGGGGGGTATAGGGGTCTGGCTGGGGGGTATAGGGGTCTGGCTGGGGGGGTATAGGGGTCTGGCTGGGGGGTATAGGGGTCTGGCTGTGGGGTATAGGGGTCTGGCTGGGGGGTATAGGGGTCTGGCTGGGGGGGTATAGGGGTCTGGCTGGGTAGACAAGTCACAGATGCTGCATCAGAGATGTATACTCCTTTCCTCTCCTACATTTAGAAGACACTCTTATCCAGAACAATTACGGTTATGCTGATAACTTCTGTATTGAGGAAACATGTACTTGCTACGACTGTGGTATGTGGTTGTCTTACCCACACTGAACAAAAAAATATAAACACAACATGTAAAGTGTTGGTCCCATGTTTCATGAGTTGAAATAAAAGATCTCAGAAATGTTCCATTCACACAACAAGCTTATTCCTCTCAAATGTTGTGCACACATTTGTTTACATCCCTGTTAGTGATGCCAAGATAATCCATCCACCTGACAGGTGTGGCATATCAATAAGCTGATTAAACTGCATGATCATTACACAGGTGCACCTTGTGCTGGGGACAATAAAAGGCCACTCTAAAATGTGCAGTTTTGTCAGTGTGGAATTGGCATGCTGACTGCAGGAATGTCCAGCAGAGCTGTTGCCTGAGAATGTAATGTTAATTTCTCTACCATAAGCCGCCTCCAACGTTGTTTTAGACAATTTGGCAGTACGTCCAACCAGTGCAACTGAATATTAGGAAGGTGTTCTCAGTGTATGTAGGCTTGCTGTGACAGTCAAGACATATGGCTAGTGAACGAGACTACAATAACAACGTAAATGCAATAAGAATTCATGTTCAGTCATCGAGGACGACCTGTCTTGAAAAACCAGACAAACAATCACTAAAGCAGTCAATTAACCAACCGCACAGCTCACAGCATCAAGTCTCTCCCAACACCCACTCTAGTTTCTTGGAGAGGACACTTTACCTATTGACTCGGCTGTTGTGGCTCTGGCTGTGGGATGAAGCTGATGATTGATTCCCCTTTAATGAGCATGATGATCTCTGGCAGCCAGGGCAGGTGGTCAGATTCTCCCTCCCTCCCTTTAGCTCCACCTGGCTCTCCCTCCCTTTACCTGGCTCTCTCTCTCTTTACCTGGCTCTCCCTCCCTTTACCTGGCTCTCCCTCCCTCCCTCTACCTGGCTCTCCCTCCCTCTACCTGGCTCTCCCTCCCTCTACCTGGCTCTCCCTCCCTCCCTCTACCTGGCTCTCCCTCCCTCCCTCTACCTGGCTCTCCCTCCCTCCCTCCCTCTACCTGGCTCTCCCTCCCTCCCTCTACCTGGCTCTCCCTCCATCTCTCCCTCTACCTGGCTCTCCCTCCCTCCCTCTACCTGGCTCTCCCTCCCTCCCTTTACCTGGCTCTCCCTCCCTCCCTTTACCTGGCTCTCCCTCCCTCCCTCTACCTGGCTCTCCCTCCCTCCCTTTACCTCTACCTGGCTCAGCAGGCATCCTCACATTAAGCCCATGTTTTTCATGTTTTTCAGTGGCTCTGATATGTCTCCTGATGGATGATTGATGGACTATTGATCCAGGAACAACAAAATAATGATGATCCAGGACCATGTCCCACTTGGTGAAATCAGGACATGCATGTATCCTGTTCCCTAGGTGTCAGTGTGCCCAGATTCACAAAACTCTTCTTACGCAAACAACTTAAGAAGCTTAAAAAAATAAACAATAAAGAAGTTCATAAGATAGTTCGTAACTCCAATTCCTCAACAATATCTTAAGATTTCATGATTTTCTTACGAACTTTTTAAATATCTTCTTACAAACTTCTTAACTATCTTCTTAAGATGATTGTAGCTAGGCAACCAATTTGGCTAGCTATCTAGCTAGCAATGGCAATCATGTTAGCATATTTCGTACAGAGATTACTGTTCTAAAACATGTTCTTGGGTTTCCAATAATCAGTGGTGACCCGTAAATGTATAACTTTTTTGTTGCCTGTTTTGCATGTTATTTTGGCATTAATACGTGTCACATATCAGTTTGCAAACAATGTAAAAATACAAAACAGTATCATTGAGTTAATAAAGCCGCATACAAACATGGTCTCTTTTTTCCTTTATTGAGTAAGGCAGCTCCAAAATGCAGGTGTTTCAGCCTAGATCAGTGCTTTCTGTGGTGGTGGTGGGGCAGCCAGCGGAAAATACGGAGCGTAGGGGTTGGTAATGTTCTCTAGTTGCGCCGTGATTGGCTCAGTGTTCTGTCACTCATGGGGACACTACGTCACCGCAAAATCTACGGGGAGAGCTCGAAAAATTCAAGCCCCTTGGGTACTGCCATAGACTTACATTAGAAGGCCACAGATAAAATGACATCAAATCACGTTATATCTACCGTAGCTTTGATATGACTGATCATGTCGACATCATACTTTCAAAGTCTTAGCTAGCAAGCTAGCAGTAATTATCATGAATCAAGTCGACAATCTACTGGCAAATCCTTTTCAATCATTGTCATATGAAGAGAAATTATGAAGAGAAATTATAGATAAAACGTATCGGTGCTCATTGGACATAAACATTACACAACAAGTTGGAAATCGCAAATTCAACAATGAGTGGTTTGGAAGGAATCAGTGGCTAACTGCAAGCATTGCAAAGCGATCACTAGCCTGCTTTTCAGTGGAGTGGATGTGTTGTCCCAAGTCTGGGTTTAAGGGTCTATTTTCCAAGCTTAAAAGGATAAACATTCAACATTGGCCATGCTGTCAATCCAGAATGACTTCTGCCGCGTTCAAAACAACTGGAAACTCGGAACTGGGAAATCTCAGACTTCATTGAGTTCAAGATAACTGGGAACTCTGAAAAAAGAACAAGCTCTGACTGGGAAAATAAGTTTTGAACGGTCATCCAACTTGGAATTCCAAGTCGGGAAGTCGGGCCTCTTTCTAGAACTCCGACCTGAATATCACTAACGTCATGATTCGACATTGTTTTTTCCAAGCTCCCAGTTGTCTTGAAAGCACCATAAATGCAGAGAATGCCAGACTTTGATGACAAAGTTTGATAACAAAATTGTGAGCTGGTGCATAAATGATGTAATATGCCAGGGAGATATGTATACTCTAGCTAATAATACTAAGTGTATTAAGTGTAGTAAGCTGTTAGTAGCCCATGTGCCTCACCCTAATAATTTGTAGAGTAGTGAAGCTCGGTGGAACTCCTTGGTATTTGTATCGCCGGGATATTTTCCCCGTGTGCCTTGTATTTTCCAGTGCGCCTGTTTTGCGCACTGGAGTGTTTTTGACGCGTTACTGCGTAACTCTGTCGTTGCGGAATAAAGCCTGTTATTCTGTGATTTACCCTCCTGCGCCTGACTCCTTCAACATCACATCATCACAAGTGGCCTCATGGGTGGAATGTTATTCCTATTTTTCATAATTTCATAATTAATAAATATATTTTTTTTTAATGCGGAAAATCCGGTGTGTCTATGTCAAACAGTTTTGTTATATTTCAGTCTTCTGTGATGTATATAAAGTGTAATATTGGGATGCAAACAAAAAATGTAATTCATTTCAACTCTATATCTGAGATGAATCAGGTGTCTTCCTTTTTTTTAAGCCCATAACCATGAGTGTGAGGTGTATGCTTTTGTTTCAATGTAGATTTGTTTAACACTATCATTAAACACTGTGTGATCCTGATTTAGCCCACTGCATAATTCACTTTTTGCTTAAGGAGAAACATAAGAAATAACACAAGAACATTCCCACTAACCTTTTTGTGGAATAGCAACTTTGCTTAACTTTCTTCATAAGTCTATAGTTAAGGAAAAAATGGCAGTTAAGAAGAAATGTCTTCTTAAGAAGGTTTTGTGAATATGGGCCCAGACCTGTTCCGACCAATGATTTATTTATACACTAGATGACTTATTAGGAGGCTCTGTGTTGAAGCCACTGTGCCTCCATCTTGGAACTTCCCCACCATTGTAAAAAATATTTTGGAAGCTATAGAAATGCATTTGTGACTTGTTTCAGGAAACTAGGCGTATGTCGCGCGTCACTAGTTCACAGGAGAAACATTTGAACATAAACTTCTTTTTTTTTTTTAACAAAATGCGTTTTTTGGCAGAAATGCCTTCTGGAACATGTGAACTTTCATGTGCCTTAATGACAAACTTGTATGCCATCTGCAAATACGAATAAAATTGTTAAATTACGAGCCTAGTTGATTTAGCCACAAAAAAAGACAGCAACCTTCCTGCTAGCCATGATTGGCTGAGATAATTAGTGGGCTGGACATGCCGAGAGATGAGTTCAGATTGGTCTGCCATGTAGCGAGCTTCTGTCTATAACATGAGCTGGTCAGTATGTGTAGGTAATCCTTTCTAACGCAGTTTAAAAATATATATATAATGTAGTAGAATGCATAAGTGTTGCTCTCCACTTTCTGGAGGACCGAGTTTTGAAATCAGTGGAATTAGAGTATGATAGCTAAGGAGATGGAGAAGATTCTGGCGTTTGATTTCAAATATGCAGACAGAGTCGAAAAGGAAGAAGCGTCCATCCATGTATATGGGTAAGAAAGTGTAGCTAGCTACATTTTCAGATATTACACGTTTCAAATTTTTTCAGAAAGTCGTTTTCATTTCAAGTGAAAGTGTACTGTTAGCTAGCTAGCTAATGTTAGCTGGCTGGCTCGCTAGCTAACGTTACGTGTATGATCTGTGTAGTAATATTATTTGTATCTCAGAGTAATTTGCATTACTAGTTATAGCCTAATGTTAGCTAGCTAACATTGAACCTGGTTGGTTAGCTACCTGCAGATTCATGCAGGGTAGTAATGTTATGAGTTGGGATTTTGGTTCATTGTTTAGCTAGCTAGCTAGCTAGCTACATGTCTAAACAAAAGACTCCACTAATATGCAAGTAACCATTTCAATAGAATGTTGTCACTGCGACAACTGTCGATAGACGTAGCTGGTAAATTCGCTTTGGCTATCTACTCTGACTCCAGAGCACTCTCGTCTGAGTGTTCCAGAGCACAGAATAACTGACACATTTACGAACGCTCAACACCCGTTGAATATGGCCGGTGTCAGCAAACGTTGGCAAAAAAAACTTAAGTAAATTGTTGCCAGCAGCACAGTTACAGTCACCAACGCTCTGGATAACATGATAACAGCCTAACCAGCTCTGCTAGGGCGAGTAAAATGGTCAGAGTGAACTGTTCTCTCATTTGTGTCTGGAAGTAGCTAGCAAGCTAGCCAACGTTAGCCAGTTAGCTTGGGTGCTTAACTGCCGTTGTTAGGTCAGAACGCTTGGATCGACCCTACTTCTCGGCCAGAGCGTCCAGTGTGCGCTCTGAACGCTCCGAGAGTGAAACGCTCTGAATTTACAAATGGACAATCTGACAATGCTCTGAGTTTACGAACGCCCAAAGCACACTCTGGCACTCCAGATTAAATTTACGAACACATCCGTAGTATAAACCAGCCTTTAGTCTTGAAATCTTTGGTTGTTTAGTACATGGCCTCACATGTGAATCCTTAAAGAGCTGGGTGGGGCTAAAGCTGAAGAGGTGTGTGAACGATGCTGAATGGGTGTAGACAAAGAAGAGCTCTCCAGTAGGTGTACCAAAACATTCAAGGGCCATTTTCTCAAAATGTGAGGTTACAAGTTTATCAACTTTCAAAGCAGAATTACTTTCCCATTGTTCCTCAACTGTAGTGTATGATATACCATTTTCTAGCTCTGAGTCTCTACTTTTGTCCAAGGTAAGAAACACCATTTCAAATGTTGCTACATAAGACTGAATCGAGCCGGTCGGTCACATTTATTATTGTCTACACTCGTTTTTGCCACATTACTCTATTACATACACCTTAATGCATACTTTTAAATTATATTATGTGAAAGGACATTTTCCTTAAATTATAACTTTTAGAGATGACTAATGTTACTGTGCCCACGACAACAACAAAAATACTTAAATACATGTAATTTTGTCCTCGAGACATTTAATTGAAATACTGTAGAATTCCATTCATTCCTACTGGGGAGTGTCAATATGGCCGACCGGTGGCTTCAAAACTCTCAATGGCCGATACATAGCATCAGCAATCCAGGGTTTATACACGTCATTGGTCCCGAACTGTGGCCTCAGAGCCACATCCACCTTCTCTAGAATCATTAACTTCCTTTGATTACTCCATGATTGGCCCTGCTGACCACAGTGCCATTGACTTCCTTTCAGAGGAAGCTCATACTTAATGTCATTATGGACTCCACAGAAGAATGTATATTTTTTTTGTCAATTTAAAGGCTTGAGATCAAATGGTAACA